AGAGACATGTAAGTAAAGGCTATTAGTATGGGGACAAGATTGTTAGTGGTAAATCTGATAAAGCTAATCAAAATACTGGCTAGAACTGGTGCTGTGGAAACATCATGAAGATTTCAGCAAGCCTAGACATGTCAGAAATGGTGAGGCACTGGTGGAGCGGTAGTATTCAACAAATAACCTGTTTCCTTACATAAGGAGAAGACAACTTTATAAAGGCAAACCAAAAAAGGTGTTGAGAATGGGAATTTATCCAAGACATAGAGAAAAGTTTACCTAAACATGGATACTTTGGCTGATCTGAAACATCTACTAATGGAGGAATAGAGGGCATGTGGCACAAAGCTCAGCTTTTTGTCATTACTAAGAAAGGAGACACACAATGAACTCTGTGAAAACTATAGCCTGCTTTGGTGCAAGGCTGATGCTGGCAGAAGATTCCTAGAATGACATTTAAGATGAGAGAGAAAATAAGGTATGTTGCCAGGGGCTCCTGTGGAATCACAGCTGCTCTTGTTAGTGAGCTATGCAAGTGTCTGGTCAAGCAACAGAGATGGTTGCAAGTTTTGCCCACATCTGTGAGGTGTAGAGCATGGTAGCAAAGTTCAAAGGTTTAAGCAGCATGATCAAAATAAACATAATTGATATATTTACTGCAAAACTTAATCAAATTTAATTTTACATACCACATGACCAAGTGGGAAAATTATGCATGGAGATGTCTAACACAATTAGCAATGTTTAGTGCAAATTCAGACTCTTATGAAAAACCTCCTATCTCTAGCTCTTAATGCTCACTTCTTCCAGTATCTAGCAACTTCTGTACTCCAGCTGCTCCCTAACTCTTCATAGGCATGACCACTTCATATTGCTCACTCAGTTCACTAAACCTTTTCTATCTCATGCTATATCTCTTCTTAAACACATAGGTAGAGCAGAGTTTTGTTCTCTGACACCTGAGCACTGATGTGCAGAGTACTTAACTCTCTACCCTGTGGCTGCATGAATCAGTCAGAGCAGGGGAAGCTGTCATTTGGGTACTCACCAGCCGGCAGGGAGAAAACTGGCCGGGAAAACACAATCCTCTTCCAGTCGTGAACAGACTGAAGAAAAGTTACAAGCAGGAGTCAGACAGGTTGGATGGAGGACAATTGTGAAAATACAAAACAGAGCACAGTGAGAGGAAGTAGTAAATAAGCAGGACATAAGTATGCTCAGCAACTGAACAGTCATGCTACAGCAGAATGTATTTTGTATCAAGTCTTCAGCAGATAATTAGTTCTTTTATGGCATTCCACTGCTCCTTCCTTAATGCCACAGAACTTTCTCTGCCATGTATTTTTTTTTATTATTTTCATGTTCTGGCTGGTTTGTTTGTGTTGGGGTTTTTTATATAAAACTTCTGAGTCTTCATTTTGTTTCTTTCAGAAGGTTTTTTTGGTGAAATGTCAACACAACATAAAATGTTTTGCTTTTATCTGAGCTCAAAATCTGAGGTGAAAGTCTCTCTCCTGTTTGTCTGCCTGCAGGGATTCCAATGCTGAAGATAGTATTTGCGGGTTATGAGCACCTGTCTTTAATTTCCGTCCCCTTACTCATCTATCATCCTGCTCAGATTCTTCTTGGAAGTCTGTTGGTACCAACAATAAAATCCTGGATGGTTTCTAGGCAAAAGGTAAGAATTGCTGGGGTTTATTTGTATTGGAAAGTGTGCTATGAGGAAAAAAATACCCAAACATGTCTTAAACTCCTCAGGTTCCTTCTTGGAGATCCCATGGTAGGGACTTTTCTGTTTCTTTACTTCCTTTGCAACACAGATAGTCACAGTAGTATAAAAAAAAATGCTGAACTTTATCTTCCTTGGCTCCGAAAAGGTTCAGATCTCAAAGTTAGACTTCTATGGTTAGTTTAAATTTAATAATTTAAATTCATTCAGATTATATTTAATAATTTATTTCATTCAGATCATGCCCAGTAAGAATGGCTCCGTCTTTAGCTAATAATCACAGTTTTGGAGCTCCCTTATGGAGAAGTGACAAAGATCTGTCCTCTGGCCTGGGAGCTGGGGAGAGCAGGTAAAATGAGGGCACTCTCTGAATTGAACTGAAGCAGGGTTAAAACTGGTTTGGTTTGGTTCGGTTTTTCACTTAGAATCATAGAATAGTTAGGGTTGGAAAGGACCTCAAGATCATCTAGTTCCAACCCCCCTGCCATGAGCAGGGACACCACACACTAAACTGTGTCGCCCAAGGCTCTGTCCAGCCTGGCTTTGAACACCTCCAGGGTTGGAGCATTCACAACTTCCTTGGGCAACCTATTCCAGTGCCTCACCACCCTCACAGGGAAGAACTTCTTCCTTATATCTGATCTAAAGTTCCCCTGTTTAAGCTGAAAGCCATTACCCCTTGTCCTACCACTACAGTCCCTAACGAAGAGTCCCTCCCTTGTAGGCCCCCTTCAGATACTGGAAGGCTGCTATGAGGTCTCCATGGAGCCTTCTCTTCTCCAGGCTGAACAGCCCCAACTTTCTCAGCCTGTCTTCATACGGGAGGTGCTCCAGTCCTCTTATCATCCTCGTGGCCCTCCTCTGGACTTGCTCCAGCAGCTCCACGTCCTTTTTATGTTGAGGACACCAGAACTGGACACAATACTCCAAGTGAGGCCTCACAAGAGCAGAGTAGAGGGGCAGGATCACCTCCTTTGACCTGCTGGTCACGCTTCTTTTGATACAGCCCAGGACACGGTTGGCTTTCTGGGCTGCAAGCGCACACTGCCTGCTCATGTCGAGTTTCTCATCAATCACCACCCCGAAGTCCTTCTCCTCAGGGCTGCTTTGAATCTCTTCTCTGCCCAGCCTGTAGCTGTGCCTGGGGTTGTGCCGACCCAGGTGTAGGACCTTGCACTTGGCTTGGTTAAACTTCATGAGGTTGGCATCAGCCCACCTCACAAGCGTGTCCAGGTCCCTCTGGATGGCATCCCTTCCCTCCAGCATATCAACCAAGCCACACAGCTTGGTGTCGTCACTCTTTACAATAGCAAGAAGTCCTCAGGAGTCTGGCATTGGATTTCTTGCCAAAATAATGTCAGGGGGTAGCTTGTAGGATTATAGACTATAACTCAGAAGTATTTGCATTGATATTACTGATCGAAATGATGCTTATTTCAGTACAAATTGAAGCTACTGACATCTGACAGCCAGTCTGTGATCTGTATGAAATAACTGCAATGGGTTTATTCAGGTTCTCAGAACAGTAGTAACCACCTCACAGAAAGCTAGTCCATGCAACTGACTGTAATGCTGTCCTTACTGTTCTGAGATAATAAGGATCAAGAATCTGTGGCAACTGAAGCAATCTTTGACAGCCATTTTATCTGAAGGTTGAGACCTACTGTGAGAAGCCCAACACCACCAGTACCCTGCATTCTCCACTTGTCAGTGGAGAAATGTTTGGGTTTTTATATAACTTCCATGTTTCCAATTGTCAGCAAAACCCATCAAGCTGCCATTTTACTGGCTTCACTCCACTGAAGTCACCTTGCTAACCTGAATGCTAAAATTCCTCAGATCAGTGATTTTTATGTGGCGCCACTTTTGGTTACCTGAATTGTAAAAAATAACCCTCCATTTCAGGAACTGAGTCCAGAAATCAGACCCTGTTAAGACAGACTTAACTTAGCATCCAGAAATGCAAATTGGAGAATCCTATGTCATTTCTCCATCAGTCTGAAAGTCATGACTTTTTTTTTAATCAGAAACTTTCGGGAGACATCACAGGTTGTGTAAAGAAAATTCTGTGCCATTCCCTCAGAAAGATAACCTTAAATAGACACTGCTGGTGACAGAACAATCCTTGCAATGCGACTTCTTTTCAGCATCTAACTGCTCTGTGCTGCGGGGATCAGAAGTGGGGCTGGAGCTCTTCCCGACCTCCCCGATCCTCAGGGGTGGTAATGGCCTTTAGGGGCTGCTGTCAAATTAACTGTTGCAAGTTAACACAGCCTTTAAGCAGGGCATCAGAAAAGTCAGCCAGTACTGGAGAGATGTACAGTTCACCAGCACTAGTTTCTTATTCATTAAGCATCAAATAAACCTCCTGTGCTAATCAGACTGTAATGCTACTGCAGAACCACTTTGGGGGATTGTTGTTCTGTTGCAGCAGTTTCTTTAGTTGGTCTTCTGTATTATTCACAAATGTTATTTTAATTACTCTTTGAAAAAAAATCAATGAGGTTGGGTCTGGTACAGTTGCAATAAGTATAATAGAAGTGAATGTTGTGACTGGATAATGGTCTCCCGCTTTGAAAATAAACATGTCATCATCACCCTTGATGTTTATTTTCTATAAACACCTTGGCTTCATTTTGGCATCTCTCTTGCAGGGGGAGACGGTTATCCAGTCACAGTACTCAACTGCAGTGACATTCTTACTTAATTATGATAGTACATGTGATCTGGTTGTATGAAATTGAATTTAAATATTTAGAGGTTCATCTACACTAAGGTATTTCTAGTTTGTAAATATGGCAGCAGAATCTGCCAAACTACAAAGTTAAAAAATTGTTTCCCCAAACAAAATGTGGAATGATGTCTCTCTCCAAAGTCTCTTGCTGAATAATATCTAAAAGACTAATCTCAAATGGCTAGATTTAACAATAGTTAAATGCTGGTGTTTCTGAAAGCTGGTGTTTCTGAGGGGAATAGAGCCTATTTATTTTTAAAGGTTTGGATTTTTTTAAGGGTTTATACTTGTGCTGGAGCAGTGCTTACAAACTTTAAATATACAATATTAAAGGTTAATATCTACAACAGTAAGACCCATCAGACATCTCTCAGACTAAAAATTGCTTGTTTAGCCAACCCTCTGGAAACAATAATTCTCTCACTGAACAGGCAAATACCAGTCTGTCTGGGCATTTCACCCGAAAGGCTAAGGAAAACAGAGGTTCCATATTTCAGGAATTTGCAAATTTCACTAATTTGCCTCTCACTCAGGCTAATTCATCCCACATAGAAAGAACTGAGCTTTCTTGATGCAGAGCACACCAACAACAGGCATCCTTTACAGTGACCATACCGGGATGCAGGAACAGCTGAAGACCTAACACCTTTTAAGCCTGTCACATTTGCCTCCAAAGTTAGACAAGCTGCTTCCTGCCAAACCAGAGGCATGGTCGCCTATTGTTTGAATTGAACTTTTGTCACACACTGAATGAAAAGTTCAGCTGCCGTAGTTGGCCAGCTCCGTGGGGAACACAGAGCTGGACTCTGCTAGCGATTAAACACAAAATAGGTAAACCACAAATGTGTGGTTTCTCTCCTCCTTGGTAAGAGTAGACTAGAGCTACAAAGACATCAGGTGTCCCCTGGCATAAGATAACCTCTGGATTGAAGAGTTTTGGCTTATTCTTACCTTTTCTCAGAAAGGAAGGTATAAACATTAGAGGTGTGTGACACCCACCACTGCAGCATTGACTATACTCTGAGCAGGATTCAAGCCATATGGATGGAAGCCAGGGAACACAAAGATGTTGGCAGAAATTTTCTCTGCAGTGTTTCCCAAAGTGGGTCAGAAGCTCTTGTGTCTATGCCACAAGTGGTTTGAGTGGCTCCAAATTGCTGCTTTCTAAAAGACATCTGAGACCCACCTCAGCTTTCTTCACTGGCGCTGTAACCATATTCCATGTGGTTCCTCTGTTAGGGCTACCTGTATATGAGGAGGTTGTGGTGAGCTAGCAGAGGTAACAACATCATCACAAAACCCAGAGTGGCCTGTCAGCTGCATGCCAACCCCTCACTCAGCCTCCCAGAAGTACGCACAGCATTTGTTGCCCCTTATAAAGAAAACTCTTGTCTTGTGCTGTTGGTTGTGTTTGAAGGATATAAAAAAGTGACTGTTTTGTTTACTGTTCACAGGCACTGAAGTTAACCAGGCAACCCAAAGCACCCGTGAAGGTATAATTACGAAGATGGCTTGTGTCACAGTGAATGTATATATGTACTATACTGTACACACAGACAATTGAGACAACTGGGTATTTGTGAATGTTGCTTCAGTGCATATTTTATTTTTTTATATATATATATATTAAAAAGATACCTGTCAAGTGCCTTACAGATGCATTTTTGGCAAAAGCATTGTTTCCAGAAGCCACTTTGTTGGTTACTGCAAGAGGTTGTACAGTATTTTGGAATCCTTTAGGTTTTATTTTTCTAACCAAGTGAATGGTCATGACTATCAGCTGTTTCTTCCATTGCCCCTGCTTTGAGCCAGGGTGCAGCAGCTGTAAGTCTCTGTTTTAAACTAGCCAAAATGACCAGAAGCTTATCCCACTGCTGGCTTACCCTGGGGAAGAGCTCTCTGAAGGCTTTTTTTCCAAGATTGACTTGAATTTCTGTGTGACTCTGTTACACTCCGTAGTCATATGACTGTGACATGCCTTTTTCTTCTGAGTTTGTGTATACTCAGCATGGGGCCATCCATTGGATAGAAGCTGAGAAGCATGAATTATTTGCATTTGTTGACACAGTTGTCTAGACATTCCTTCAAAGTTAATGGTTTCTCAAGAAAATTCTTTTAATTCCATTGTATGATATTGTGCCATTGTATATCTTAAATGCCTCATAAGCTTCTTCAAAGAAATGGTCTGGTGCTTGGGTTATGAGTGAAGTATTTGTGTTTGCAGCTAGCAGATCTTTCATAATTTACCCTTGAAGAACACAAATTCTTCATTTTCGTTTTTTTTTCCTTCCCCCGGTGCAATGCACGGAGACCTGCAGTGACAGAATTTAGGATGCTAATATTGAAACGGAGCCCTTATTGTAGTAAGCCAAGCTATGTTTCCTGTATTGCTGTGTTGGTAATGAATAATAGCTTGTGAGGACAAGCAAGTTGACTTCCTGCCCCACCCTCCAGGTGAAAGGATCCTTTTCGTAACAGAAATGCTATCTTAGCTAATTTGACAATCAGCCACCACTTTTTAAAAAATAAAATGTTACCTTTTTTAATAAACTTATATATAAAAAAAGAATACAAAATACTATTTCTGATAGGAGTGTTGAAGAGAAAGGAACACAGGCATATATTTAAACATTTAGCCAGCACTGCATCTTATCTAGGAGATCAAGATTTCGGAAGCGTGCTCTAGTTCAGCCTCTGAGGTGTACCCATCTGCAAAAATTGGGCTGGCAATTTCCATTAAACCGTTAAAAGGAATTAAGGAAATAGGTCAAACTGGGATCAATGTAAATGCAGAAGTTTCATGTGTCATGGTTAAGATTGCAGTTAATGGTGCAGCTGAGTGCAGTTTACCTAGGAGCAGATCTTCAGCAGATGTAAATTATCATAGCTCTTACAACGCTATAGCCATTTACACAAGCTAAAGATCATATGTATGACAATGGGCATGTGAAATTCATATCCATTTGCCTTCATGAAAAAAATTGTGTTTGGTTTACTTAGTCTATTTTTCTTAGTCCGTCATTCCTGTGAACAACGGGAAAGTAATCCAGTACCAATCATCAGTGCTTTACCTGATGGCCAGTCAGTGCAAGACTGCTCTGATGCCATCTGTATGAGAAACTACTGGGAGCTGACAGCATCACCTTGTTCAAAATTGTCATCGCCAGTAACACAGCTGTGTAATGAAGGTACATGAGGTGACAACATGCTGAATTCTTTCATTCCTGAGCTTAAAAACCCTGCTTGCAGCAGACAGTCCAGACACAGGAGAGTTTCTTTTTGTTCTGTTTCCATAAACTTGAACTTACCAAGTATATAAGGACTCAATCCCAATCCCACTGAAATTGATGACTGTTTCTGTTGGTTTTGAATAGCAAAGCAACAGGCCCAAGAGCACTCGCTATCTTTAAATACAGAGGAAGAGTTCAAGCATACAATGGTCGTGTCAATGCTAAGTAGTCAGAACACTGCAAGTACCCTAACTGAGCTACCTCTGTGTACTGAATATCCAACTTTCAGTACATCCAACAACTTGCTTAGATTCCACTGAACACATCCTTTTTTCTTTGTTAAGTTTTTTCTACATTTAAGAATATTTTAAACTGTTCTACAATGGAGTTTTGTTAAAGCCTTTACAAAGTCCTTTTTGATTGTGTGGGGCAGCCTAAATATCGTTTACAAGTGTTGGAGGTGCTGGTCTAAAGGGAACATAAAGCAAAATTGAAGTATATATTTTGAATTTGTACTTAATTATGCATATCAATTCTGTTATGTTTAAAGACTGTTAAGATGTTTAACTGTGACCTGTTATTATGCCTGTATGTCTTTAATAAACAGAATGGGTTTGAGTTCGAATTTGTTAATAGAAAAACAAGAAAATTGCTTATTCTCTAGGTCAACTTTTTACCTCTGTTACCTATGGTTTGTTCTTTTGTGGGTAAGCTTTTGATCTGTTTGCATCTTCTTTTAAAAGATCATCCTTGACCTGTATGGAAATATTTTATGAACAAAACTTGGGGAAAGTCCTCAGAATACTGTAAATTATCACCAACTGAAACTTAATTCATTGAACTCCACCACTTTTTCAGTTAGAGGGTTAGAACTGTTGTGAATCTTTTCAACTTCTTGGCTTTAAAGAGGCATCTGGTATTGAACATAATCAGGCAAAACTGATGACAAGCGAGACCTTTGCCCGTGTTAAAACATAAGGATTTTCTTGATCATCAACAGTTCTGATCTGCATCTGTATAATCCCACCTAATGATAGCAGAGGAATAAAACACCCAAACAATAAAAGAGCACACCATGGGTCACAGGGAATCTTAGCACTTTGTGTTGAGTTACTCAAACATTTTATTTCCCTTTCTGTGCACTAAATCGAGAAGCTTTTGATGACCCCAGTAGTTGGTCCAAGATAAATAATTCTTTATGTGTTTAAATCAAAATTGTGGTTCTGTTTTTCCTTACAGATCCTTTAGTTAGTGTGAATAGATTATATGACAGAAAAGGCAATCTCAGCAGAAGCTGCACAGTTGTGCTTGTTCACAGAGCAAACCAAGAGCAATCCAGCAGCTTGGTTTTACCAAAGGAGTCCCCTGCGTTATTCTGGCAGTCAGGGGAAGAGGAGCTGTTAGTTTTATTTGTGTGCAGTTTTCTGTGGCAATATCTTGACAGCGGGAGGTTAGAAGGCAAGATGAAATATTGTCTGTCTGCAAGCACATTTACTTATCTGCGAGTGCATACGTGCATAAGAGATGAGCAGTTGTGTATGTAGAAATCACTAGAAAGGACCGAGTCCCTGGTATACATTTTTTGCAAGACTGCATATGGAGAAAAAGCTACTTTTTTTTAAAATGTTATTCTGACATTAAAAATGAAATTTCAGACACTGAGTTGTGTTTTGTATTGAATCATAATCTTACACAGAACCTTTAGAGCAAATGATCGCAGGATTGTATTTGTAAACTGTAGACTGTTTTGCACTTAAATAGATGTTGATGCATTTGGGATTACAACACAGTAAAGGGCTAAATCATAGTTTCTCTACTTTGTTATAACCCAAATGCATTTATGTTACTATTATTATAAAGTGCCAGAAACACACACAGTCCCTTGCAAACATGTTAAATAGACAAGAGACTAAATTCTGTCCTTGGTTACACTTGCATATCTGCAGTTAAAGAGCTGTTAAGCTGCACAGTGGTCTCCCCATGGAAGCTGTTTGAAAAGCCCTGTCATTGTTCTCACAAAGCTTGGTAATAATATAGCCATGATGAGAGTAAATGAAGAGTATTTTACTTTAGATTTGATGGCCTGCCCTTTCCAGCATCTAATAAACCAAATCTCTTTTGTCCTATTTCAACGGGTAGCCGCAGTCTCCCAGACCAAAGAATCATCATATCAGAACAGTGTCAGCAGAGGGAGGTTGTCTCCTCTTTGCTGTTTTCTTGCTTAAACCATGTTATCACTTGCATTCATTAGACTGTGACTTCTTTGAGGAGGCATTTTTAAATAAATTCTTCAAAGTTTATGCATATAGTTCCTGTAATTTTGTCATTCAACAGAGAACTCCTGTCCAATGGCTCTAGATGCGCAGGACTAGAGAAAGCAATGCCAGGAGATGCAGGTGCAAGGCACTGCTACAGACAGGTACGCTTCATGCTGGCATCTGGAGCTGTAACAGGGGTCATGAAAGCAGCCTCTAAATTGGTTTCTTGCCAGAAAGGTGGAGAGTGAGATCTTCAGTGAGAAGTAAAATTAAATTTGTTAGTGATTAAAAGGATGAGAGAGATGTGTTGGAAACAATTGGTGCCAATGAGGCCTCTCGGCTGCTCCCCTAAGCAAATTGCAGTCTCAGTGGAATATCAGCTTCTCAGTCCATCAAATTGCAGTAATCAAGTCTGGAGCTGACGGGAGCATGAGTCACCACTTAATTTTCTCATCAGTGGAGGCCAAGTTTTCAAAATATTTTTAGATGCATTTCCACAGAGATTTCTGCCAGCAGTGACCTAGAGAGTGACAAGAAAATGAGCAATAGCTGCTGTTGAATCAGGCTTTGCTCCCTGCTGCCTACCCTACTGACTGCAGTTTGGGCAGGGAGGGCAGGTAGGTCAAAGGCCTTTGGCATTGTTACACAGAAAAGAGCCACCCGGAGTTGATCCCAACACCAGGATTTGTCAAGTAATATCATAACTTGTTAATTCTTAGGCTATCTGCTAGGTTCAAATCAACTCCGTGTTGCTAGCCCAGACCAGAAGCAGACGTGAGATGAGAAATTGCTTGTGATCCCTGCTCAGAGAGACAGCAGCTACCCAACAGCTGCGGCACACAGAAGAGGACATGCATCTCCTAAGGATCCTGTGCTGGTGTGTATTGTCTGCTCCTTACCTGTGTTCAAAGTTACCACCTGGCACGACTGTTTTTCACCCAGTTAAGAAGAAGAATTAAAAAAGCCTCTTTGGGTAACATCCTGTGTGGGTGAGCTCCCTCTAGTATAATTGCAACAAAATCAAAGGCTTTGTGATGTTAGCATGCTGATGTTAGTTTATCTTTGTAAATGAAAACTTCCTATTTATGGTCAGTTTTCATATGAAATGGTACCAAATTCTAAGGAAAATTACCTCTCGTAAAAGATAAGAAAATGGGCTGCCTCAAAGGAAAGACAATTTCATTGATAAGATTAAAAAAAATACGGAAGTCACATGAGAACTGGCCTTTTGCCAGAAGAATTGCAGGAAATAAAATTGGAGTGTCCTGTGACAATAATTGGGTATGAAATTCTATTGACAAAAGCTTTTCCAGTTCTGTGCTCCCTCCGTTTCTTAGCGTTTGTGATTGCAGTCCTTCCCCATCAGTGTCCTTTGTCTGCTGCACGGCCCAAACCCAAGAGGTTACAAAATTCTATCTTAGTTCCTGGTATTTCCCCCATGTAGTTTTGCCACTTTAGTCAACACTGTTTGCTTAAGTAAGTGATAAAATGTCTTTATTTCGCTATCTTCAGCCTAAATCCCCCACCCCTTTTTTTTGTTTTAACTTCTCCCACTTAACTGCCCCTAACTG